CTCCAGCTAAGCATTACCACATTTCTACATACTCCTATATTCATCAAATATCAGTGTTGATATAGTCACTTTGGAAATGTGCGCCATGATATTGAGTTGCGCTATATTTTGCATAATGTTCTCTCCATTTCTTGTTTTCCTGTAGAACGTTTTCCTTATCCCAACAATTTGAATAATTCGATTCTTTAGTGTAAAATGGGGGCAAAATAGTTTATTTTAATTCAAAGGGATATTGAACTAATGGGTGCTTGAAGATTACACGCTTCCTGTTCAGCGTTCACTACGGTATGATCTCGGTCCTGCTCAGTGATCCATATCATATTTAAACACGGAGGATTTGTTGATTCGCTTGAACAACAAAATCAGAACTGATAGATCCAGAGCGCAAGGTCGGGTCAGAGTGACTGGTCCCTCTTCCTTCTGAGGTTGTCAGATCACTTGCACGACGTTGGCGTGAAACACTAGACGGCACGATGCACTGTTCCTATCACTGCCTTGCCTACTGAGAAAGACACTCGAGGTTGCGGCATAGAAACGGAGATCAACACCCCGCCGTCAATTTTGCCATAGAAGAGGCCCTGAAATCGCCAGATTATCCCTAATAAAGACAAACATTCCGACAATGAGAACCTTCCTCTTTTGTTTTCGTATTTTCCAGATATTTAAATATTGATACTTTTGAGCAACGACTACCGCTGTTCAGGTTAATTTCAATTTGCGTGGAGGGTTTTTCTCAGAGTCCTACCGCCACCATTTAGCTCTTACGCTTGGCTCGAGAAACGTTACAATGTTATTGAAACTTCTGGACTGTACATCAAAAGCTGTTTGAACTGACAGATTGTCAGCCTAAAATGATTGTAGTTGTAGGTTTCTTCAAGAATGATTTTGACACATACTCATGCACTCAAAATTATAAGAATATTAAGGATATCCAGCAAACGAAGTGGAAGATAAAATTCATGCTTTAAATCTAGTAGTCAGCAGGTATTCATTTTACTCAAATGGCCAAAGAAACTAAACGGCACAGCTATAAGAAATGTGTGCAATGATCATGAAACACGAAAGTCACCGTTGCGTTATGTTAAAATTGTATCGGGCTATATTTCACATGCCTTTCTATAATCTGAGAAAAAACCGACGTAAGTTAATCTGTTGAACATGTATTTCTTGTTAAACAGAACTCTGGACTTCAGTTATAAGAACACTACACGCTAGCTTGCAACTATAATTCAGTGTTCGATGATATCGCCGGTCTGCATCAATGTCCTTTAGCTAATTGGCAAGCAATACAAAGATTTGACTCTAGCGAAACGTCTCAATATGGACACTTTATGATTTTCATTTCGTAATCGATGCCTCTAGGATTCAGCTGACCGCTTTGCCCACAAACAACGCTAATAGAACATTCATTATATCAGGCACATCGAGAAAAAATTTCAGCAAAGGCGAAGACCGTAAGAAAATAGATGGCAAAATTACGTCCGTAACAATGACAAACGACATACACTGGAAATGGGAAGCACAAACACCATCTTCTAGATAGGGCGTAGGTGAAGGCTTGCAAAACAGCTAGAAATGTATATAATGGAACACTTCATAGCGCGACTAATAATTGACCTTAAATAGTACAGATACTAGTGATAGCTTAAAATTATAGTTTACATTCGCTTTTTACGGTCTTCTGCCCCTATAGAGTAAAATCTTCATCTTCTTTATCATCATCTTCCATCGCCGCTTGTACTTTCGGGTCGTGGAAGCAGACCTGTCAGTCAAAGCTTCCAACGTTCCCGATCCTGTGCCAGAGTCTAAGCTTTGACTAAAAACAACTGGAGTCTGTAACAGACCCCTTCCATATATTTACACCAGGCTAATTTTGGACGTCACCTGGGCGTTCTGTCGGTCGTTATTGCATAGCCTTACTTTTTGGAGGTATTCATAACACATACCCAAGAAATCGCATCTGTGACTTCTCGATCTGGAGAAGCAAAGGCTGTATGCCATGGCACTTCCGGATGTCAGTATTCCAGACCATGTCGAGACGGGTAAGGCCAGCGACTCGTCTGAGAAAGCCCATTTCAGCAGCTCGTAGGGCAGATCGAATCTTCTCAGTCATGGTCCACGAGTCATGACCGTAGGTAGGCATGGAGATGGAAAGCGACTTCAAAACCAAGAGCGTTCTTTTCAGACTGAGCTCTGCTTTAGTCACAATCGATCCGGGAAGTTCATGCAGAAAGCCATTGGCTCCTGCAGTTCGCCGGTCAATCTATTCCTTTATTGATGATGATATTCCATCGTTAGTAAATACGATTCGGAGGTAATCTTCCCCACCTGCTTCACTGCATTGCCGTTAACCTCAAAAGAGCAACCGGTAGCAACTGGTCATCTGTTCCGTATGCTCGAAAGTATGTCCGCAGACTGTTACGTGGGATCCGGCCATAGTCTTTTTCTGGGTAAACAAAACACATGTACACCGGATGGACGTACTTCCACGACTTTTCAGCAATCTGGCGCGGGGCATATACATGATCAGAGGTGCTTCACCCGGGCCGGAAGCCACACTGCTCTTCCTGGATCTTGAGGTAAACTATTTCGCGCCACCTCCTTACATTAAGTAAGTATTATGCACTATTTGAGTTGTACCTGCGGATAAAATTTACATGGAACTGTAGCTTGTAAGTTGGAATAACGAAGTGCATATTCACCCTTCAGTTGTTTTATTGCGGTTACGGTTACGGTGCAGCGACTGTTTTTCGTATTTTAACCAGCATGCTGTGCATGGGCGAATAAAGGTACTGAATGCCTGATTCATTGGTAGTATCGTTTTGTTACTTATTGTTTGCGTTTTATCCCGTGTATTGCTCGTAGCTGACTTCCACGTCGAGCATTTTTGTTTGCTCAGTCGTAGGAATCATGTTGTGCTTGTGCTCAGTAACCTAATAGTTTGATGTGGTGAGGAAGTGACGGTTGTACGGCGAAGGATTCATTTTGTTTGGTTTTTGTAGCAGGCAAATCAGCTGTGTTGTAATTTGTAGCCTGTCCTTGTAGGTTTGGTCCTAAACCATAAGGTTGGTGTGGTATCATTTTAGCTGCATTTTGAGATAATGTGTAAGATTGTATGTGAGAAACTGACTTTTATTCTTAGTTGCGGTGAAATGACTGCTTGGATTTTAGACCCTTGTACGAACGACCTGCAGTGATGGTATGTCCATGTCAACGTTGAGGACGCCGTATTGGTCGTCCTTCCTGACGAAAGGGACTGCGCCGCTTTCGCTGCAAGGTGGCTGGTAAACAAACTAAACTTTTAATTTAGTGATGTAATTAAATATTTTAGTCATTTTTCTTCGCCCATATCGACAGATGCTGTTTTAAATCTATCGTGGTCATCGCTGTATTCTCTGAAAGTGAAGAGTCCTTATTCAGGCAACACAACCTGCAGAGCGGTGCTGCTGCAGAGTACAGAGAATTTGATCGGCATCTTCCATTGAAGTCGAAGCCGATCGACATAAAGGAAATCTCCCGTTTCGCGAAGGATGTGGTTTGGAAACAGTCAAACGCCGGTAAAAGGATAAGGCTGCCGTTTAACATGTGGAAGGTTGGCATGCTGAAATGTCAAGTGTCGTATGACGATTACATGAAATTTGATCCTGACCGCCGGGATATCGTTAAGGCGCATTGGAACTCGGTGCGAATTCTCCAGGCGCTTACAAAGAC